GCATTTACAGGAAGGGTTTTCTAGAATTTGTGTGGCTTAGACTTGTCCCACACTGCCTTTCTAAGTGGCCCAAGCTTGGTCCATGTACTCTAGAAGCCTCTTCACTCAATGCCAATTGATTTTGGGTTGGATGCCTTCGAAAGGGCTTTCTAGAATTTGTGTGGTTTAGAAATTGTCCCACATTGCCTCTCTAAGCGGCCCAAGCTTGGTCCATATACTCGAGAAGCCCCTCCACTCAAAGCCAATTGATTTTGGATTGGATGCTGCAAAAATTCTAACACTTGTATTCTTTTCTGGTTCTCTTTGTTTTCAGGATGTCTGCGGATACTAATGTTTTTGTGGCTTGGGAAGAGCACATCATCTCCCAGGAGAAAGGAAACCGCATGGTTCACTTCTTCTTGAAGAATGCATCTGGCGATTCAGTCCTTGCTGTTGTTGGGACAGAGAGGAGTATAAGGCACATGATCTATGTTGTTGCAGACGAGTACCTGCAGGCGTATGGGTCCAAGGGATTCATCAATGCCACCACGAAATGGAGAGCTAGACGAGAGGTTGTGGACTGGCTCACATCTATGGTTTCGAAGAATCGCCCAGCATTAGATATTTCAAGTATGTACTGCCCATATCTCAATTCTAGAGATATCATTGCTTTAATTTTCCATTCATCTGTGTTACATGCAAATGAAATTCTAGTCTTATTTTATTGAGTTCATATTTATCATGGAAGTCCATGGTAAGCATTCCACCATTGATTTGTTCTGACCAAATTTGCAACCAGGGAAAAAGACTTGTTCTTGAACCAGCAGTTTAAGAATAAGAATTGCATGGACAATTATGCATTACTATGATAATTCTTTTTACTTGTTTAGTTGGGACACCTGTAATTGTGCAAGTATGAGGTTTAATACTTTGATATACATTGATGGTTGCACATCACTACAAAACGCCATTTTGTTGATTGTTTTGTTACTTTTACGATTAGATCACATACTATTACCCTAGAATTCTTGTATTACTGCAAGGAAAATGGTGGCATTCCATGTTAAAGCTCTTTAATTGATTGTGCTCTCATTTCCATAAGTCTTGAGCTTACCACAGGTCTTCTAATCTAGGCCGTTGGGTCAAAAGGATATCTCCAAGAAAAAGGTAGGGGTTCAAGACCCTTTAACTTCTTAATAGAAGTGTTATTATGATAATGTAATCATGTTTTTGATGATACCAACAGGACAAAAAGCCTCAAGATTTAGTTAGTGCTGAAGTCATTGTATTGTAGATCTACTTTGAAGAAATTGATTGTAAACTATGCATTTTGTTTCAATGTTTCATAAATTGCATTTATTAAATTTATTTTTGTTTTTCTTTTTGGAGGATGGGAAAAAATACGGAGTATTGTTTCTTTAATATATCTTTTCACAAAGTATTTAACGCCCTAAGAAGCATGGACACGGACACGTGACACGATACGAATACGACACGGACACGCCGACACGTTAATTTTAAAAAAATGCAGGACACGACACGTGGAGGACACGCATGAAGCATATAATTTTATATATTTATTATATGTTATATATATGAATATATCATTCAAAGATAATAAAAAATGCAATATAGCATTATTTCCTATAAATTTATATGGTTTTTGTTTTATTATTGTACCTTAAGTTGTTTTGTTCAAACTTATAATTAGTTTTACATATCTATAATCAATAGACACATGTGTTTAAACAATTGACACGTATGTCCTCCAAGTGTCCAAAGAGTGTCCGGGTCTTTAAAAATATTTAAAAAATAGGACACGTTTTGAAGAGTATCGGACACGTGTCCTAAGAGTGTCCAAAGAGTGTCGGTGTCCGACACAGACACGACACGGATACGTCATCTTCTTAGAAGTGTCCGTGCTTCTTAGTTAACGCCTTTCCAATTATAATAAGTATAAGGACCCAACTCTAATGCAATGGAAATGATGAATATATAAAAAATTAAGTTCTCCGTCATTGCTATAATAGTATGGTTTGTTTGACCCTTTTGTAATCCTAAGAATTTATATCCTCTTCCCCTTGAAATCTCCCCTTGAAATTAGAAGCGATATCAACGTACATAGCTGCATTTGAACTTGATGCTACAAGCATGCAAGGTTATACTTTCTATCCTTTTTGTCTTTATAACATTGTAGCAAACTCTTTATTATTACCTTATTCTTTTTCACTTCTTGTTTGTATTTCTTAGTCAGTCGTTCTTCTTCTTGTTCCTTACCTTTTCCTTATTTCACTCCCTGAAAACCTAGTTAGCTCAAAATGCTCACTTTTTCAGCTCATCTAGCCCTTTTTAATTTCTCAAAGCTACCCTATCTTGTCTTGTAGGATATGAAATAGTGCAGACGTTTTCTTTCCTTTCCAATCAAATAGACTTTGTTGCAATTGCATGTAATTGGATATAGCTTAGTAGTTAGTAATCAATGAAAATATTTGGATGAATTTATTCTTCCCATATAGAGGGTTTCACTTAGTCAGGATATTCTTCAAATATTTTATCAACTTTTTAAAGTGGAAATCATGCATTGCCATTTTAAACTCGTCACTATCTAAGAAGCTTGGGCACATACACAGACACAATACATGAAAATTTAAAAAAAATCAAGACACAACATGTGGAGGACATGCACAAAATATATAGTTTTTATAAAAATTTTAAAAAAAATCAAGACACAACATGTGGAGGACATGCACAAAATATATAGTTTTTATAAAAATATTATGTTACATATATGAATATTTTATTCAAAGATAATACTAAAAAAAAAAAATATATCACACTAATTTCTGAAGTTTAAACGAGGAGGGGTTAATAAGTATAAAGCTATATTGGCCTTGTTTGGTTTGTGTTTCTCAAAAAAATTTTGGGAAAAATTCTCTACAAATAAGTTTTCAAAAGTAATCAAACCAAACAAATTTTTCCAATTTTTTTTTTCAAAACTTGTTTGGTTTACAAGTTTTCCAAACAAATCTCTCTCTCATACACATCAAATCAATCACTTTTTTCAAAACTCTCTCTCAAAATAATTTTTCAAAACATCTTTTGAAAAAAAACCAAACCAAACAAATTTTCGTACTTTTTATCTCAAAACATGTTTCTCAAATACAAACCAAACAAGCCCATTATGTTTATTTTAGTTGATAAAAAAATATTCTCTTTTGATTATTGAATCTCAAATTATTTTGTTCAAACTTGCAATGTTTTCATTTGTGTCTAAACAATGGACACGTACATGTGTTTCCCTCTAAGTGTCCAAAGCATGTTCAAATTTAATAAATAAATAAATAAAAATACAGATACATGTTTGGATGTTTGTCCACCACATGTCGGGAAGTGTCTAACATGTGTCTGACGTGGGCATGCCACCTTCTTAGATTGTGCTTCTTAGGTCACTGTGGTGGTTAACAGTTTATTAACAAGAGAAATCAATTTGGTGATGTTAAGTAGATGTATGGAGTAGTGTGTCAAGTGTGGTACTGGTGGTTGGGGTGAGTTAGGTTAGAAAAATGTGTATTTATTTGTGGCCATGTCCGCACCGTGTTCGTGTTGTGATTTTTTTTGAAATTACCTTGACAGTGTTCACATTGTTTCATGTGTGTCTGTGTCCGTTCATGCTTCTTACCAAAATGTTTTGTTCAAGGAACTACCGTTGAGATGATGTGAAAATTGAAATTGCAACTGTTAATTCATGTGCTTGTATTGGGGTGAAGTCTTATTGAATTATATTTATAACAACTAACAAACTAAGAGGAAGAATATTAATTTGCAAATACTACTAGGAAATATTGAGAAAAAAAAATGGAAACATATGTGACAGTATATTTTAGGGAGGAGCTGCATCTATATGGTGGATTTACTGGGTGGGTATATACTTTTTGGGTGCGTCTTTGTTTCCTCCAAGATATATCCATAATTTGGAAAGATACATTTGAAGTTCCGAAGTTGTATATATTACTTCTTGGGTACATCTTTTTTTCTCTGTTCTCCTTTTTTAATGAAGGTTTTCTTTTGTTGCTGATCAAAAAAAAAAAAAAACAAAAAATCTTGGGTGCTGCAATGCATGTGAACACACTGATTCATTATGTATGGATGATGAGATTTCATTGGTACAGAGCCAATTCCAATGTGGACTTATTGGAGGGTCCTATTGGCGTGCATCCAATAGAAATTGAACCTATGATTACCAAATATAGTTGGGCAATTTAACCATTCAACCATGGATGCTGAATTACACCCATATCCATACCACATGATTACCAATTATAGTTTCACCCATATGATTACCAATTATAGTTGCACCCATTTCCATACTATATATTTTTTCAAGAAAAAATCCATGTCATATTGTATGATAAAGAATGTCCCAGAATAGAGAGCTTGCTATATAATCGTTTCGCAAGAATTTTGTTAAATTTATGATAAGTTTCCTAATCATGTGTCAATAATGGCTAATAATTATTTTTATTTGTCTCATGGAAGTGATAGGGTCATAGCTTATTTATCAATTTGGCTGGTCAACGTGTGCAAATGACACAAACATAGGGTACAAATCAGAGTTTTTAAAGGCATGGGTAACGCGAGTTGTATGCCTCAAGGCGGCTGAGACATATCATAGTGAATTTTGAATTTTTATATCTAGTAAAAATAAAATTTGTTTAAAAAGCAAAAAAAAAAAAAAAAAAAAAAAAAAAAAATTAAAATTTATTACAAAGGTGTAAATACTTTTCTCTTTAAGGTGTAAAATTTTGCTTTAGAGAATAAGGTTTGCCCTCATCGAACGTGAAACAATGTTCTTAGCTTCAGTCATTGAGTTTCTCACTTAAGCCTTAGCTTTGTGTTTTTTCTTAGTTGGTCATTTATTTGATTTTTTCCCCATACAATCTTTTCTTTTCTTGTATATATATATATATATATATATTTATGTAAACCATGAGTTAGACCAAGTTTAGCAACACTCTAACATAACCTTTTCATATGCATACTGTTCATATATGTATGCATATAATTCGTACAAGGCATATGCCTTGGAATGTGATGTGTAAGCCTTTTTGGAGTGTCGCCTAAAAATCAAAGCATCGATGTGAGCATCAATAAATCTTCTTAAAACTTTGGTACAATACAAATACAACACATTAGGGGGTAGCCCTTATGATAAGCTCTAAATCGAAAGTAATCTATACATCTATATATATATATATACACCCACACACAAATAAAACCATTATATGAGAATGTGATTACTCTTAGTTTATGACTATACTATGTAGTTCACATTAAAAAAAAAAAACCAAAGGTGTTGTTGGTAGGACATAGGTTTTGAATTAGATCCAACATGATTTCATCTTACCCTTCAAATAGTGGTCCTTAATGGTGATGAAGGGTTACAAATCTGCTATAGGGGACCCAAATGGAATTCACTTCTGTAATAAGGTTGCAACACCTTTAATGGATTTTATGATCCATAATAAACTGTTATGGCACTGTAACGGACATAATGATTAGTGGTTGGTACTTTTTTTTGTTCGATGAGAGAATAAGAAGGAAAAGGAGAATAAATGAAAAAAGTGAATAATTTAACATGTTCTGCTGACAATTGTTGTTTATGAAGCACAGACACACCAAAATAGGTATTGTAGTGGTGTCGGACACGGGGACATGGTGGGGATACATAGTGGACATGCTAGCTAGCGTGTCCTTTAATTAATTTGTTTTTAGGGGATATGTCAGGGATACACCAACTATTCTTTTTCCTTTCTTCTTTAGTTTTTTTGATAGATGTTGGATGTTTATTACTTTTTTTCTTAGATTATATAATTAATAGATCATATAATTAATAGATCATTTATGAAAAGAACATATGCGATAAGAGTTGAGTTAAGAGTGGGTTTTTTATTTTTATTTCTATTTTTACATTGAATTAGTGTTAGTTTTTAAGTTTCATTGTTTGTAGAAGTAAATTACTCTACATAGCAAATAAAAATATATAAAAATGTATTTTTTTATTTATCGTGTTTCCACTGTGTTCCTGCCCCCATTTTTTTAAAAATCACTATGTCTTGTGTCCGTGTTTCTTAGGTGGTCATATTTTAAGTCTTAATCAACCTTTTGCAATTTGCACCATCCTTTTCATTTCCATTTGCTTGGGTTCTCGTTTTGCCTTCTTTTCAATTACATTATTTTCATGGATGACAAAATCAACTCTCTCTCATGTTTGTCTTTTCATATGATAAGTGTTGTGCTATTGAGAATAGTCAATGAAATCTTGCCATGCCATAGGGACCAATTAGGCTCAATTTTTTGAGTGGTGTGAAATTGAATTACCCATTGATTACATTCCCTTTTTCGACCCTTCTACATCTTTTTACCATCTAATTATCCATATAAAAATAAATAACAAATAATAAAAGAATCATTTTTTTTTAAAAGAGTAGATAATACCATAAAAAACTTGACAATATATATACATAAATAGTAGTTTAAATTCTTCAACATTTACAAATTAGCTAAAACCAATTTGATGGAATTAAACATTCAATTAAGTTTATATACAATAGATCTCATTTCTTAACAGACTTTTCATATAAATAATGTGACATAGTCTCGAGTAAGGGTGTTGGGTATGTGTATTTGTTTGTATTGTATTCATCTAATTCGCATGTCGATGTCAGGTATTGTACTTTTGACATGGCAGAAGTAGCACTAATTGAAGATAAGTTGAGAGAGAATAAGCTAAGATGGTTTTATCATATACAATGAAGACCTTTAGATGCAACGCTAGAAATGTTAAGAGAGAGGGAAAGACTTAAATTGACATGGGAGAAGGTAGAAAAAGATATTAATTTATTTAATTTAACTAAGCATATAGCCCTTGACAAAATAGAATGGCGAAAAAAAATTCATGTAGCTGACCCCTCTTGAGTGGGACACAAAGCTTAGTTTGGTTTTGGTAAACATAGTTTTAAAAACCAATGGAAAGTACCTTATGCATAAAATGAGAATCTATGAATAATTATATAGTTAACATGATTATTTAGGCATAATTAATATAATAAACTAGATATGTTGGACACATATTGGGTGTTCGATATGGATACTAATGTAACATGAAAGTAAGATTAATTTAGCCCCAAAAAAGGCACAAAATTAAGCACACTGCAATGAAGGATATGTGGCCGCGACCCTTGACAAACCCACAAGGTTATCACGTCTTGACCTTTCCCTCAAATGACCTAATTCAATCCTTTTTATATACTTCAAAACCTTAAAATGAAAAATTACAAAATAGCCCTTTCACAAATTTACAAAATAACCCTCCTCATACAAAAATTACATTCTAATTCAGTCCTATTTATAGACTTCAAAACCCAAGATGAAAAATTACAAAATAACCCTCACAAAAATTACATAGCATATTAGGGCGCCAATCTTTTCCTATGGTACAATATTGCATCAAACCCTTGTTGAAGAAAACTCGTTTGAGGGAGAGGTCAAGACGTGAGAACCTCATGGTTTGTTAAGGGTTGCGGCCATGTATCCTTTCCTTTTTGTCCCTTCTCTATTCTTCTAAGCCCCCTACTAGACTCTAGGGGTTTCCCCTTTCTTTCTCTATCTATTTTTCTTGTGGATTCAAGGCCTCTAGTGGATTCTAGGGTTTCTTCCCTTTCTTATTGCTCTTTGTTCCTCAAATTTTCCGTATATTGTATCCATATATATGTGTTCCAGTTAAATCAAAGACGGCAGTGTGTTTTATTGGGCTAAATCATCAATGAGTGTTTCAACTTTCTTGCTAGGTATGTCACTCTCTCTCTCTCTCTCTCTCTCAATTGAAGCAATGAGAAGAATTTATCCTTCGGCTTTTTTACGGCTGCATGATTATTTATTTATTTTATTTTATTTTTTCCTGGTTGATTTCATTATTTAAACTGATCCTGAACAGAGATTGAACCTGAACAAGATTGGCTATACTCATCATGAGCCTGAACAGATCTTGTACGTTACCCTAGGATGAGAGCACCAAGCCGAAATATCTTAGTACATAACCTTTTGATATATTTTATATATGGATTCAATGGGCTTTGAGAACATTGATCAAAAAGAGAAGGAATAAGCTCATTTGTCATCTTTTTATGTTAATACATACCGCCTCTAAATATTCTAAAAGATAGAGCAGTACGGTTAGATTTTCAATGTTCATTATCAGAAGTTTCCCTTTATAAGAGTAAAAATTGTTACATTCTTTTTCTTAACTAAATGTTGCAACTCAATGGCATTTCTCCGTCTAAGATTTTGAGTTTGGCATTATTTGTTTCACCAAATATGGCAGGTACAGTACAAAATGGCATGTTCTTTTATTCCTTTTCTGTTTATTCAATGCTATTGTGTTCATTGTGCTCCCATTGAGAGGCTGCAATGAGTTTTTTAATCAAGTATTTTGTGTAACAATTCAGTTTATCCCCGTGAATAGGTACAATGCCCTACCTTAAATCCTCTTTGCATAATTCATTTTGTGTTACTGTTGATGGTTGTTGTAGCTTTCTATTTTGGGTTTCTAGAGCTTGATGTGGGTTTGTCTTAGATTTCACATTCAGATTCCTAATTTCATTTGTATCCCTTTTATTTACGCTTTCGACAAGTTAAGTTGAGCCAATGGTGAATCTGTAGTTGGGACAGAGGACCTGTTCACCTGATGAATTTGTTGAATTTATTTAGCAAAACAGTATTGTAGTGTATTGAACTAAATATCCTCCTGAGAAAGCTACATTAAAGTTGTGCTTATTCATAATTTTGTGAGAATTTCATAGATTAATTTAATACACATGAGAATCACTCATTTCTAAGTGCAGTGTGATTATTTTATATTTAACTGTAAAAAAGAAAAAAACACTACTAGTAGAAAGAATTAATTGATTAGATGTATTAGGCATTCTTGGACATGTTAAGAGGTTATTGTTGTATGAATTGGTTTTTTGAAGGGCAGTTGATTCCTACATATGGAGAATAGACCATCAACTTTTTTGAATGCAAAAGTTGGTAATCCCTTGTTGTAATCAGTATGGTATACATTTTGTCCAAATAAGATTCGCAAACTAATGTTTCCTTGAAAGTAGTTTTTATTAAATTTCAATCTGTGAAGCAGGGTTGATGAGGATTTATATTTGTTCTTTTTGCGTTTTGGAATGGAAATGTTTCATAATTGGGGAAATTGACACATTTGGGACTTGGTTTTCCATTTCCTATATGTTGCATTATCTTCCAATCTGCACCAAATTCAGTTGACACTCCAAGGCTTCTTATTCTTTTTCTATCCTGCCCTGCTCATCATATCATCTACCACCAGCCTTTTCATCTTGATCTAGTAGTATCATGTTTATATGGACGCCAACATTGTTTTGAATTGTTTATACTGAATTTTGTCTTCTTCAAATGCAATACCCTTACAACATAGTTATTACTTTTTAAAGCTGCATTTTATACTATACTTTTTTTTTTTCTTTTTTTTCCCCCATGCTCTCCCTTACCTGCTTTTTAATTGCATTTATTTTTTCTTGCATAAGTCTTACATTCTTAGTAATTAGTTGTATTGCATTGACCTGATCTAATTTTGTATTACATGTCCTTTATGATCTTTACTTTCTTTTGGATTGTCAACATAAGATAAAAGGAAATGTTTATTATTAGGTGTAGCTTCACCGTCAACTTTTACTCTCCCTTTATGTTTAACCTTTGATTTGGAAACATTTTTAGCCTTTATGTAGTGAATTACTTTTTCTTATATACAAAGTTTATAATTCTAAAATATTGCCAAGGTTATCACTTAGCAAATGCCCATGCCCTTTGTAAATGACGTGCACAAAACTCCTCCCTAGTTATCCATTTTCACTACTTGTCATTTCCAAACCTTAACCACTTCTCATGATTTAGCATTGGATGTATGGGTTGCGTTCCTACTTAATTGTCTGGCTGACATACTTGCCTTAAACTTTGATGTGAAATTTACGGTGTCTGTATGTGCTAACTCATGATTGAAAACAGTGAATAAATTTTAATTTATGTTCTTTGTGCACCATTTGCCTTGTTTTGCTTTGAAATCTCAACAATTGTAGTTTTATTTCAACAGATGTACAGACAAGTGACTCAGCACAAGCTCTGGGATCTCGGGAACGCTCAACGGCTGGTACCAGTGCTGTTCAGATGCATATACCAGATCATATGGTATTCTATCAAACCATTAAGCCTGGCTATATAATTTATAGTTGTTTTGTGATCAGTGTTGACTTTTTATTTCAGATCCAGGTTCCGAGGAGGTTGAAAGCTCAAAATTCAGATATTGTGTGGTCAGGTGTTGCTTGGATCTGTAGTAAACAGCTCAAGCACTACCCAGCTTTTTCTAGGAATGAAATTATCATTACTGTAAGCATAAACATGGTTTATATCGTCTCTTTCAGTGGCACTCTGTTCCTCAAACATTTTTTTCTTCATTTTCTATTCGATGTTAGGTTCATTCCTTTGTACTTGTCATGGCTGAAGAAGAAAGTCACTATGTTGGTTACTTGGAAGATTTGTATGAAGACAAGAAGGGTCAGAAAAAGGTTAAAGTGCGATGGTTTCACCATAATCGGGAAGTCAAGGACCTAATACCTCAGCTGAATCCTCACCCCCGAGAAGTTTTCATCACACCTCATGTTCAGGCTATCAGTGCAGAGTGTATTGATGGTCCTGCGATAGTTTTGACTCCTAAGCATTTTGAGAAATGCTTGGCTATTGCTTCCCATGCTTTGTCAGCTGGAATTCATATGTGCTTTAGGCAATTTAAAAACAATAAGGTCAAACCCTTCTCTCTAAGTAAATTGCGGGGCTATTCGAATCAAGCAATCCTCTCCTCTTTAGGTTGCCCTGTTGGCCCCAAGCATAGAACCAAGGGCCATAAATCAAATGGGGAAGAAGATGAAGATTTTACCCATGAAGGACGTGGTGCCAAGAGAAATAGAAGTAGCAGAGGGAATCAGAGACTTGAGGCTGGTAATATTGGTGCTACAAATTCAATCCCTGGCAAAGAGATAATAAAATCTCAACCGACATATAAGAAGTTGAGGATCAAGCTATCAAATAGGGAACTAAGTAGCTTTAAGCTTGTTGGGCCGTCTCAGCCCCCGATTCGTGCTTCTTTTAAGGTTGATGAAAAGATAGAGCTGCTCTGTCAAGATAGTGGTATCCGAGGTTGCTGGTTTAGGTGTAAGGTCTTGCAGGCATCACAAAAGCGTCTGAAAGTTCAATATGTTGATGTGGAGGATGCTGAAGGGTCTGGCAATCTTGAGGTATGTAAATGCTTAGACTTAAATTGGACAATGGTACTGGAAATAAAAACACATGGTGGCACAGACACATTTGTTTTGACTGTTCTTTCTTCTTCTTTGATTGTTCAGTTACAAATCTTTTGGTTTGAGTGATTTGGTGATAAATGATAGAAATAAAGAGAAAAAAAAATCTGTTTTCTCGTGTTTGGTTTGTAGGTTAAGTGAGAAATGGTGAGAAACAATGAGAACTGGTGAGCAAGAGAACTCTCGTATTTTATAGGTTTCATTTCAATCCAAAAGTTGTGAGATTTGTTGAGAAACAAACTGATTGATTATGTATTTTTCATAATACTGAGATTGCCTATTAAAATACAAAACCCATATACCTATATCACGTACTTTGCTTTCTTTCTCATCCAAACATGATAGTGAAAAAACTCAACCATTTCTTTTCTTTTCTTAAGCAGATGAGAGACCAGTCATTTCTTTTCTTTTCTAATCCTGCAATCCAAGCGGACTTGTTGGTAGATTTTGGCCTTGGTAGAACATTTTTTTTATTTCTGTTAAGATTAATGAATTGGTAGCAGGATATTTCATGATGGTACAGTGATTGGTGATGTGGCAAGTGTACTGATCACAATAATAACAATATGGTTGTTGGGTTTGGAAGCATGCTGCAGGTGGCCCATAGATTTGTGTAATTAGTTGTCTGGATATGTACATGTTTGAAAACTGTAGCCTATTCTATTTCGAGAAAGAAATTGTGTTTTATGGATTTGAAAAACAATCCAGGAGCAAAGTACTTGTCTTGACATTTACTTTAATGTGCAGGAATGGGTTCCTGCTTCCATAGTGGCAGCTCCTGATAAACTGGGCTTGAGATGCTTGGGCCGCCTTACTGTCCGTCCATGGCCCTCTGAGGATTCTTCAAACGGTTCAGTTGAGGTTGGAGCATCAGTTGATGCATGGTGGAGTGATGGCTGGTGGGAAGGTGTTGTAACTGGAGTTGATGAATCTGGAAATGATAGTCTCCAAGTTTATTTCCCTGGTATGCTCTGATTCATCTCTGTGTCTCTCTCATAACCTAGTCACAGACTACCAAAGGCCTAACTGAATGAACATTTAGTATTTCTGTAAATTTTGAGGGCATTATTAAATTAGATAAAGGAATTATTTAATTTCTTTAACATGATTATCCCACTGACATCCATTCAGAGTAAGTGCATGAGTAAATGAAATGGAACATTCACTATCCTTTGTTATACCATTCTAGGCTCGAACACAAAGGGAGTACAAGATTTTATATTAAGAACAACTTCAAAGCTTTCAAATATCATGCCTTCCATTCAACTAAGCATAGATACAACCTCCATGTCTATTCACATGAAAAATGCCTCAGACCCCCAGTGGGGGTCACTGGGGGTTATGAATGGTGGCTTCTCATTGGTTAAAAAAAAAACTGTTTTTTTTTTTTTTTTTTTTTTTGTGTTTTGGACGAATGAGGGGCTGCCACCTCACTGGGGGTCGACCCCCAGTGGGGGTCTGTAGCATAACCCCTATTCACATATACACATAGCTTCAAATATACAACTTTCAGGCAATATCATCCTCACATACATATATAGGGAAGAGGGGGAAGTAAAGCCCAATGACTAGTGATATATCAAAGACATGATAATCATGAATATACCAATAGCTTGATAGCTATACTTGCATTTGAAGCATAAAATGTCTTATACATTTTCATTTCCAAATATATAGTGATAATGCTAATCTAGAGGGTGTGTATCATATCATAACAATACATAACCAGGTTGACTCCGATTAAGACAACCACAATCTAGTGGTAGAACTCACAATACCAAAACTATTAGTGTATTTTAAGTCTCCTAATAGCCATTGGGACCATAGCTATTAGTATATTTTGAGATAGCCACTGGGACCCAATATTATTAGTCTCTCTCTCTCTCTCTCCGCAGGACCAAATCATTTTAAGTCAATAACCTAGAAAACCCCTGCTCCAAAGGACCAAATCATTTTAAGTCAATAACCTAGAAAACCCCTGCTTATTATTTTTGAGTTTTCTAAACCAGATTTTGGGCTGGTGCTGTTCATAGGTTGCCATGAGAAATTAATGTTGTTTCTTTTGTGATTTTAGGTGAAGATCGGTGTTTGACTCTTCAAAGAAAGAATATTAGGACTTCAAGAGATTGGATTGCTAACAGATGGGTAGATATAAAGGCAAAGCCTGATATATTGTCTTACATATCTTCCATTAACAGCCCAACCATGAAGTTCCCAAAATGCACCTCGAAACTTGAACCCATTAAAGAAGTTAAACAAAAACTATCAAGTTCAGCAACATCCAACGACCAGGAAATTATGGAGGGGGTCGAGATGAAGCGACTTTGTATCAACGATGAAGGTAAAGTTGATAAAGGTGGTGATTGTGGTGGTGATGGTGTTGGTAAAGAAGCCAAGTTGGTTTTGGATGTTGAACCTGCTAACCAGAAATGTGAAATAGAAGAAATGGAAGTGGTACCTTAGAAGCTGTATCATATGAATCAATGGTTTGGCGCAGTGGAGAATTTTTGCTTGCTAACTAGATCTGTGTGGTGCGGCCATTGATTTTGTGTAAATAGTATAGAGAGGTTTCGGGATAGGAATATGCAGAAGAAGTTTTTCTAGTTTTCTCAACTCCGGTGGAGTTGGCGGGCGTATAGCAGCAATTGTCTGTATGACTTGCTATCTATCAAGTTAGGTAGTAGTGTCTCAGTCATCAAAACTCTTAGAAGTCAGGTTCTATTACTCTTCTTGTGTTGTGTCTATATTAAAGTCTTATAATAGTCCTGTGCATTGCATAGTTTTATGGTTTAAACTATACCCTTGTGTCAATTGTAAATCTTGTGAAATTTCTCTGTTGTCTGGTGGAAAAAAATTGGGGGTTGTTGCCATCTCTCTCTCTCTCTCTCTCTCTCTATATATATATATATATATATAAATTTGGTGTATGAGGTGTGAAGTCGAGCCTATTCTGAAATTTGTTTCAGGGTTAGAGGAGTTTTGGTTTTGGATTAACACCTCTCTTCAGAAGAGGAAGCTTATTCATGTATTAAGAAATATGATTCAAAGGCTGATAGTTGATGGTAAGTTGTCTGCTCCATTACCAGATGGCTTATGGGGTACAGAATTATGCTTTTGATGAGGCTCTTTCCAAGAAACTTGGAGATGTTTTACTCGTTTAATTCTGAGGAATACCCATCTTGTGTTTTTCTTTGAAGACAAATCTGAGCTATCGGTAGCCGAAAATTTGAAGTATATTCCATGGAATGAGGTCAGACAAGCTGTATAAAGACAAGGGTGAAATGGAATATATGAAAATAAATTTTTGTGTTCGTCCTAATGAAATACTTTTATTCTATTTTTAATTTATCTTTCCCTTATCAAATTTAAAAAATGACTTGACTTCTTTCATTAAAAAAATAAATAAATTGCGCCTTAGTAATGTTAGGCTCATTTCTTCAATTGACAATTTTAAGGTGCATAAATCTCACCACATAATTCAATTGAGTGTTTTTTAATATGGAATAGAGGAATCTAAGGGTTGGTTTGGGAAGTGGGTTGACTTTTTGGCATTTTAACTTTTTTGACTATTTTAGCCTGGGCTAAAAAATTTAGTTTGGGAAAAGTTTTTTGGTTTTTTTAACTTTTTTTGTGAGAGAAGAGTGTAATGATTATGGGTTGGATGTGAAGTTTTGTTTGTTGTGGCTAAAATAGCCTATTTTGTCTTTTGTGACTATTTTAGTCACAAATCATCTTGCCAAACGGAACCTAAGATAGAAATACTTGCACAAAATAAAATATATAAATATATAGGGATTGGACTCTCTCCTCTTAGAATTTTAGGCTCATTTTGGGACTGTCGCAATAATTCAAATTGTTTTATGTGCAGGACTCGTCGAATATTGATCAGATGTCAATAATCATTTGATTGGATTACTTTTGTGTTAGTACTTTATTTTTAAAACTATACTTACTGTTGACACAAATTTGATTAGATTAAGTGGCTATTAATATTTGATTAACGTAATTTTTTATAAAAATAAAATATTGATATTCGATTAATATGAGTTTTGTGATGAGTTCACATAGGGTAAGCACTCTCCAATCTGAGAGAGAAGTGTGAGCCAAATATATATATAGGCCTATTTTGGCAACATAATTAAAAGTTAATTTTTTGATTTTTTTAGTCACATTATCGCTTTATTTTTTTGTACGTTTTTTTTTTTAATAAAAAAATCAAAAAAAATTTAAAAAAACTAATTTCAAACCTATTTTCCAAAATAAATTTAAAAAAGAAAAGAAAAGTGACCTAAGTTATTTTAGGTGTGATCATCACTACCACAACCACGTCTTGATTTTTGTGTGTAGATTTTTATAATTTATTTCCGTACAAATTAATTAATCTATAGACCAAAATAATAATAATAATAATAATAAATGGAGTGGTGAGCAAGAAATGGGGCCAGTGGACTACCGCAATGACTTGGGAGATGACTCCAATTGTTTAGGTCTTGCCGTTCGTCACATACCAGATCCCAAATTTAAATCGTCATCCCAAACGTCACTCTCTGAACCATCAACTATTAGTCTGGGGTGGTCTCAACTATTAGTCTGGGGTGGTCTCGTGAGACATTTGATTATTTATTTAGTAAAAAATTTAAGACTTATAATATTTTTTCTTCTATGGTAAAAAAAGTCGAAATATACAAATTTAAAGATGAAGAGAATAAACTGATACTCATCAATAATTATGGGGTTTGGTGTACTTAAACCTTTATTTATACCCGACTGTGATTGGTTTTAGAAGCCTAGGTATATCATATTATTATATGCTATCCCGAATGCTCAAATCATCTTCTTCATCATTTTATAGCAGTTTCACTATAATGGACCTGGTCTTTGCAACACAAAATACCATGTTACTTCCATGAAATTTCTGGGGCATAGTTTAATCCTTATCTCTCCTCCCTAATTATATAAAGAAACTTCACTTCCAATGCCACCACAACTTCAAGCCTCCTCCTCCCTGTCTCTGTCTCTCTCTCTCTCTCTCTCTCAGTTTTCTTTGCAATCGATGAAGGAAGGGAAACAGAAGCTGTACTTGCAACGGTAAGATTTGAATTCAAGCATCACACCTAATAAAGGAGCCTCTTATCTCTCTTAACTTACGAAATAATATTGAGTGCAATGGCGATTTGTATCGACGATTCAAGAAACCAAGACACAACCAAACCTTTTCCTTCCTACAACCAGGGATGCAAATTCAATAATTCTCCATGCAGGCTTTTCAACTTCTGCAGATCCAATCCTCCAAACCCTGTTTCCAGCAGTTCCATTAGTCATCAGCATACTCAGAAAACCACTGATCCTTCAAAAGTCACTGAACCAAGCTCTGTATCCCAATCAAGTGAGGTCGACTACATCAATCATTTTTTGTCATTCTGCTCAATTAAAGATGACGTATGGCTCAAAATAAGAGAGGAAGCTAAATCAGATGTCGAACAAGAACCAATCTTGTCAAACTACTATTTTTCTCTGATTCTACTGCAAAATTCACTAGAAAGTGCTTTGGCAAATCACTTGGCACAAAAATTGAGCAATTCAATCCTCGCCACCAATACAATTTACAAACTTTTCTTGAGTGTGCTAGAGGAAGATTGTAACATCCAAATTGCGATTAGAGACGATCTCAAAGCAGTGAAGGATCGTGACCCAGCTTGCATAAGTTATGTCCATTGCTTCCTAAACTTCAAGGGCTTCTTAGCAATTCAAGCTCACAGGGTGGCACATAAGTTGTGGTCACAGGGCAGGACAGTTCCAGCACTTCTAATCCAAAGTCGGGTTTCGGAGATTTTTGCAGTTGATATCCATCCGGGTGCGAAGATTGGACGTGGGATATTGCTCGATCACGCCACCGGAGTTGTGATCGGAGAGACAGCCGTAATCGGTGATGATGTGGTGATTTTGCATAGTGTGACATTAGGAGGGACAGGGAAGGTGGAAGGGGATAGACACCCTAAGGTTGGTAATGGGGTTATGATTGGGGCAGGGACTAAAATTTTGGGCAATGTTAAAATTGGAGATTTTGCTAAAATCGGTGCCGGGTCAGTGGTGTTGAAGGCGGTGCTGCCTGGAGCCACCGTGGTGGGCAACCCTGCTAGGGTAGTTGGAGGAGGAAAGGATAGGCCAAAGATGTGAAATTTCTAGTTTCACATCATTTGTGTACTCATATACTTCCATTTTGCAGTTGTGTGATGATAGTATTGCAATTTAACAGCAATACTATGTTATTTTGTACATATACGATTTGCATTTAGATATGCAAATCCTGCTATATATGTTAGAAGAAATGCTATGTCACATGTGTATGGATATTTATGATTGGTTTTCTTCTTTTGAACTAATTATTGAGTAATTAATGAAAGCAAATAACATTTTACTATATAATGTAATGATATAAAATGGTAAAAAAAGAAAATAATATATTGCAGTCCTCATATATGTTTGGTGATTGGTTTTGTGGTAGTGTTATGGGTAGTATTTTTGGCAATTTAAAGGTCAATTCCCCATCAATTTGGGGTTTGAGCTTGCGTTGACATCTTTTGACATGGGTTGAATGCAGGGAGGTGGTACATGTTGTTCAATTTGATTTAGAACTATAATTTTAAAACATATTATCATTGTTCATAACATGACTAAGCAATATTGTTCACAATTTAAAAATTATTTAGATAACGGTTTACAACTAATTTTATTACTATACAGACTCTGTTTGGTAGGGTTTATTTCTAACTTATTTCAGCTTTTAACTTAATTTAAGTTATTTTGATGTATTTGGTTCAGTTTAACAATACAGCTTATAACTTTTTGTAATTCAAAAATCAATTTATTCTTTGAGTGGGGGAGGAAAAACTTAATTTATAAGTCAAAAATCAGCTTATGTTCACAACTATAACCTATAAGCTATAAGTTATAATCACTTTCTCACAACTCTACCAAATAAGGCCACAATAACAAACTTAATTACAAAAGTGAAAAATCACAACTTATATATATATATATATATATTTATGAAAACTTACATAAATATATATGATATACACATTTTTTCCCATATATATATATATATATATTTGATATTAATAAGATATTTGAGTATTTACGATAGATAACAAATTATATATATATATATATCTAAACGGTTTGGATTTCAAATTGGATCCATAATTATAAAACTATAGATGGAATCATGAAGCATGATTTGTCTATTTTACGAATCAGGACCGAATTGTCTATTAAGAAATTGATTTGTGATTTTTTTTTTTATTTTTACGCTCAGCCTCATAAAATGGATTTCACTAATGTGTCGTGATGGCAAATTGTGACACACTGTGTGGTTAGAATGACTTCTCAACATCGGCCTCGTTTGGGAACAGGCTAATTTAATAACTTTTTGGCTATTTGGCTAAAAAGATAGGTAAAAAAAACTTGTATGTTTGGGATGACTTTTTGGCTAATTACGAAAAGATGTGCAAAAAGTAGAGAGAAAAGAGAATCTTTGACTTTTTGGTATGGGTTGTTGGCTTTTTGGCTAATTTAGTAACTTTTTGGCTAATTGACTAAAATAACCTCTTGCCAAACGATAATGATATTCTAGATGGAGCAGATTCCTTGTTTTATTCTCTCTTGTTCAATTAGAAGCTTATGCTATTATGTACGGTTGGCTATTTGGCCTTCATCTTAGAGAAAGAAAAAAAAAAGCCTATCCCATATTACCTATTTTGCCTTCTTTGCATATATGAAGCCTATTAATACTCTAGATAAAATAAATATTGTATAATAGTAAAATATTAATTGTAATAGAATCATGTTCATTACAGTTCCTTTTCTTACCTTTTGAAAATTACATCTCCCTCCTTGAGATTTAAAGTTTTATTTTAAATTGCTCCTTCAGTTAGTTAACTGTTAAGTCAACTAACAGATTTTGCTGATGTCAGCAATTTAATTTTTTTAAATACCAATTTTGCCCTTACTAGGTAAATTACAGTGACACCCCTCACATATTAAAAATTACAATCATCTCCCCAAAGTTTAAAGTAACATTACCAATTGTCCCATCGGCTAGTATTAGTTGAAAAAAAATTAATTGAAAAAAAAAAAATTGTTAGTCAAATTTTTAAATTTCTATTTAAAAACCAACGTAAACTCATTTTTTGAATTTATATTTTTTTTCCCAAATTTACAAACTGAGATAACCATTTATAAACTAAAAAAATTATCAAACAAGTTTTTATAACAACTTTTAAAATTTTTGTAAATATAAATTGAAAACTAAAAACGAAGTAGTTATCAAACAGGCCTCAGATGGTAAAAATGTCATAAAATTAATAAATAATTAAATAAATTACCAACGTAAGAAATGACTTACCAAAAGATTCTTAGACTATGTATAGTTTGATTTTTAGAAAAAAAATTTAAAAACTAAAAATTAATTTGGTTAAGAAATAAAAAATAAAAAATAAAAATTATTTTTATATAACTTTTATCTTTCGAGTGGTTAGAAATAATTTTTTACAAATTAAATATTATTTTTCATATTTATGTTTATTAAATTAGTTTTTTTTTTTTTTTTTAAATGCCAAGGTGGGATCCGTATTAAATTGAAACCTCAGGGGGTGTCAATGTAATTTACCATTTAAAGTACATGTAAAAGTTAAGGGTAAATATGTCATTTCAACTTAATAGTTAACACCGTTAAATAATTACATTGACAAGAAGAGTCAGTATAATTTTTCAAATGTGAAAGAGGAACTGTAATAAATATAAACATCAGAGGGTGTCAGTCTAATTTACCCTAGAATCATTAAATGCTGTTAAAAAAAAATGGGGCCACTATTTTACTTGAAATAATTTGCCAATAAACTATCATAATGAGATTAGGTGGATTTTTTTTTTTTTATCTCTCATTAATTCAATCATGTAATCTCAATTATCGCAAAATGAATTTCTCATTCATTGGTAATACTGCTCAATAATATTATTGTTGGACTATTTTAATATCTTTTATTTATTTATTTATATATTTTGTTCATGAATCTTCCTTTTATCTTGTTCATGAATCTCATCTTGTTTATAAATGGAGATTCATTGTTTTGGTGACCTTTTATCTTGTTCATGAATGGAGATTAATTAGAATTTATGAATTTGGTGGTGAGTTAATATTTGGATTCACTCTCTTTTTTCTCTAGGTTTATGTTATTTTTTTGATGTATTTTGTAATGTTCTAGCGGCCTATAAATAGTTCTTCTCTTCTACTCTTTTCTACACCAACACATCAACTATTTTCTATACAAGAGAGATTACTAGGAAAGAAGGGTGTTGGTGGAGCTTTGGGTTCACCATCTTGTGCAGAGTTGGCCTGAACTATACGACAAGTGGTCGGGCTGTTGTATCCTGGAGGGGACAAGTCATAGTTTTGTGACTATTGCATTGGTATTTGGATTCTTTCTACCGCAGTGGGCTTGATCTCCGTAAAGAAAACGAGATATCCGTGCCTCAGCCTGATCTATTTGTATCTCATTTTCTTTACATTATTTATCAATAAAATATAATTTTTTCTGGTATTTTCACCAACAATTTTATGGAGATCAAACATGGATCAAGTACCAGAAAACACCAATGATGGAATTGGAGATCTCAACAAGCCTTTCAAGTTCAAGGGAGTTCATTTTAAGAGGTAGAAAGGAAAAGTTCTTTTTTACTTTAACTTTTTGAAAGTTGCATATGTTCTTACCAAGAAGAACCCAAACAAAATCTCAACCGAGGAGATAAATGATGAAGAGTACGAGACACATGAAGCAAAAGTGGCTTCCTATAATACAGATAAGTATAAATGTCATTCTTATCTCTTAAATTTCCTTGTTGATTAATTTTTTGATTATTACTATGACACCACTTACACTTTGTCTTTTATTAATTTTTGGCACACGCGCTTGTGTCATAATAAAAGTAAATATGTGGGAATCATGAGTAGTTTAAGATTAATTCCTAAAGTGACAAAAAAATTTTGAGAAATGTGAAATTTGCAGTAAAGCAAAAATTACTAAGAGGCCTCATAAAAGTGTTGAAAAAAATACTGAATTACTAGAATTATTTTATACTGATTTGTGTGAGTTTGAAGGAATTTTAACTCGGGGTGGTAACCGATATTTTATCACTTTTATTGATGATTTTTCAAAATACACAAACGTATATTTATTAAAAAATAAAAGTGATGCTTTTGAGAAATTTAAAGAATTCCTTCTTGAAGTGAAAAATCAATTCGGTAAAAATATTAAGAGAATTAGAAGTGATAGAGGCCGGGAGTATGAATTTTTTGGATTCAACTCTTTTGTTCAGTCATTGAGAATTATTCATGAGACTACTCCACCATATTCACCTTCATCTAATGGCGTAGCTAAAAGAAAAAATATAACGTTAATTAACTTGACGAATGCTATGCTTATCGATTCAGGTGCTCCCTCAAATTTTTGGGACGAGACTATTTTGATAGCTTGTCATGTGATAAATAGAGTGCCACACAAAAAGACTAAAATTGTACCTTATGAGTTGTGGCGGGGGCATAAACCAAATCTAGGTTATTTGAGGGTTTAGAGTTGTTTAGCTTTTGTGAGGCTTGCAGATCCTAAACGACCTAAATTGGGTGAACGAGCTATTTGTGCTTTTCTTGGGTATGCGTTGCATAGTACAACTTATAGATTTTTTGACATGGAAAATAATATTATTTTTGAATCAAGTGACGCTATTTTTCATGAAAATAAATTTCCTTTCAAATCTAAAAATAGTGGGGGTCAAATAATTTCTGAAAATATTTTATCCATGCCTAGCTCTTTAACTCTATCTCAAATTTTTCAAGAACAAGAAAATTTTCAAATCCAACCAAGAATGAGTAAACGAGCTAGAGTTGAAAAAGATTTTGGCCTTGACTCTTATCTTTACAATGTGGAAGAAATTCCTCTTACGGTGCAAGAAGCTTTATCATCACCTGATATTATTTTTTAGAGAGAGGCTTAAATGATGAGATGATTCACTACTTTCAAATAAAACATGGAAGCTAGTGGATTTACCTCAGGTTGTAAAACTATTGGGTGTAAATGGATCCTTCATAAAAAAATTTAAACCGGATGGAACTATAGATAAATATAAAGCGAGGCTGTCGTTAAAGGTTTTAAGCAACAAGTTGATCTTGATTTCTTTGATACTTTTTCTCCAGTTACTAGAGTTACATCCATTAGACTGTTGATAGCAGTGACTGCAATTCATGATTTAAAAATTCATCAAATGGATATGAAAAACAACAT